AAAGAGAAACATCAATGATGAGAGGGAATCATCTACCGGCTGCCTCCTGCATGCCCCACACGGGATTGAGCCTGCAACCCGGGCATATGCCCTGACCGGGAATGGAACCGTGACCTCCTGGTTCATAGGTCGATGCTCAACCACGGAGCCACGCTGGCTGGGTAGCAGTGGGGCTTCTTATCGTAAAATAGGCTGAGAGACATCGATCACCATTGAGTGTCCACTATGCTGACGGAATGGGGCCACCAGGGCAGAGTAGGTCCCTGGTGTCGCTGGGCACTCACCCCCCTCTTGTCCCAGGCTTGCTCCTGGAGAGAGAGGGGGCGGCCTCCGAAAGTGCCCCGAGCTCCGTGGTGGCCTTCTGGTGTACTCGACCAAAGTCTGGTCCGTGAATTTGCACCTGGGAGAGGTCCTTTGTCTGTCCCCTGCTTCCTCTCCCCCCCTGAGCCTCTCCTTCTCGGATCCTCCCCATGGACCTGCTCCTTTCCTTCATATCCGGTGGCAGGGGCCCCCCTTGCAGGGCTGCTGTCACCCCAGCCTGCCTTGCTCTCTAGGCAGGCAGAGAGGCATCAGAGGTGCAGGGAGCTCAGATAAGGGTGAGCTAATTGGCCTCATTGCTTTTTATGGCCCTTTTACTCTCTGGGGAATCCCCAGCAGGAGTGTTTGCTTACAGGGAGAAGTAGACTTCCTTCCTGCCAGGCAACAGCTGGGAGAGGCTGCCCCCGGGGTGGGTGCAGGGTGGGCCAGTGGCAAGGGCAGGGAGGGAGGAGGCGCCCCAGCCTCATTTCTTGCCATGCCTCCTCTCCCCTTGCCTGCGAGGCCCCTTCGTCCACATCTGCCCAGGGAAGATAAGCAGAGCTGGTGTCAGAGCAAGGCTCGCGGGCAGATCACAGCTCTGTCGCTTGCTGGCCAGGTGACCTGGAGCGAGGGACTTGCCAATCTCGAACCTCACTTTCCTCATCTGTGAAATGGTCATAATAAAACATGCACTCGTCCTCAAGCATTTGACATCTCCTGGCACAGAGTAGATACCAACAAAGTACCGGGCGGGGATGGGGGGTGGCCTCCTGCAAGCCTAGGAAGACCTGTCCACCCACAGGCACCGGCCTCTTCCCTCCCGTGGGGCTCCCAGGCTCTGCTTGCCTCAGCCATGGAGGCAGTGCCGTGTGTGGGGGCGCTCAGTACTTTCCGGCGTTAGCTCATTTAATGAGTGGGCATGAGGGTGACTTCTCTGTGCTGTGTGACCCCCACTCCTCAGCCCAGAAGGCCAGGACCTGGGTTGTCTGCTCAATGGATATGAGCCCAAATTAGCTTCTTCAGTAGAGCAGGTGGCTTAGATCTGCATTGTCTTGTATAGTGGCCACAAGCCATAGGTGGCTATTACAAATTAAATTAAAGTTAAAAATTAAGTTCACCGTGTTTTTGATAATGTGCAACCAAGAGGCTCATGTTTTCAGCCCCACCTGGCTTTTGGGGTGTCATAAAGTATTTCCAGAGTCCTTCTAAAACTTCCTGATCTCACCCCCAAATACCCACCCACCCGCTTCCCCTCGATGTCACCTTTAGGGTTTACCCTGAGCCTTCTCAACACTTCTCTGGCTGAACTGCACTGCAGCCTAGGAGCTGGGTGGTATGATTCATGTCCAGTATTTTTGTTGTAGCATCTTTGTCATAGGCACATAACTAATTGGCCGTAAGACAATTTTTCCATAAAAGAGATAAAATCATGACAAATAAGAGGGACATTAAAAATGAATAACAGAATTAAAAAGGCTACTGTGTGCCCTGGCCAGTGTGGTTCGGTTGGTGGGTATCGTCCCATGCACCAAAAGGTTGCACATGCCCAGGTTGTGGGCTTGATCTTCAGTAAGGAGTGTGCAGGAGGCAGCTGATTGATGTTCTGCTCTGACATTGATTTCTCTCTCTCTCTCTCTCCCCCACACCCCTCCTCTCTCTCTGTCTAAAAATCAACAACAACAACAAAAAAGTTACTGTGAAATATTTGAATGCATTTAAAATGTGTTTAGATTGATGGCAATCCTGTGCAAATGACTGATTTTATTTTGTGGATTATACCTAGGCACTTGTCTTCCTTCCATGGGAAACATGTGGGTTCACCTTGCACCCTCAAAGAGAGGCCTCGGCCTCTCCCTCCTCCCAACGTAGTGTGTTTCGAAATAAACAACCAACTCGCTGGTAAATCGTCATCTGGAAGAAATGCTGACTATTTTAAGATTGCCCCGTTTAACTGTTTTCTCCACCAGTTTGTCAACGGAGAAATGAAGCCAGACTGACAACCAAGCTGATGACACAAAACAGCAACAAACCAAACTTACCCCTTTTTATGGCAATATTGCCTTCCGGCCACTTAGTTATGCGGTGAAAATGCTCGAGGCAAAATGTCTAGCATGGGAGTACCAGGAACCATGACGATTTCTTTTAGATGAAGACTGGAACTTGTGTTGTTGGCTATGCTGAGCGCACTCTCTCTCCTTCCTTTTGAAAAAAAAAAAAAAATGATGGCTAAATGGTCTAGCAAGGCCCGGTGACCTTAGGTCACAGCAAATCTGTGATGTCAGTGAATATTTACGTGCAAGTTCCCACCTCCAAGAGGTCTGATTGAATAGCACAGACTGTACAGGCAGGCGGCCTGGGCATTAGACCCAGGTCCCTGTGCTGCACCCAGTGACGCTGGGTAAGTCCTTAAGTCTCGATGGGCCTCAGTTTCCCCATCTGTAGCACAAGGATGATACTATCTACCTCATATGCCCTCTTGTGAAATGAGTGGCATCTGACAGGTGCATTGTCACGGTCACGAAGTGTCACCGTTAGTGCATCCATGCAAACTTTCCAGTGGATCCTGCCAAACTCTCATGTTGACTCCGGCTGGAGCGGTTGGGTTCTGTCCGGGCATTTCGGAGCGGCTGGATCCAGCACCTTCAAAGACATCTCTTGTTTGAGCAGGTGGTGGCTCAGGGAAGCAGCTGGCAGGGATGGGGGCTCAGGCGGCTCCTTTCGTTCTAGCACCCCTTACTGGTGTTGGAATTCCCCTCTTGGCATTGACTTCCTGCTGGGGTAAAGTCTTACCCCAGGACTGTGTCCCTCACCTCAGGGCAACACTGCTGACTTCTGGCAGTGAGCTTGAGCTGAGACTAGCTTCTCCAACGGGTGACTTAGACCTGCGTTGTCCTATGCAGTGGCCACTAGCCACACATAGCGACTGAAAATAAAATTAAACTCCTTGGTCACATTAGTGCCACCAGCCACATCCCCACTGCTCAGTAGCCACGTGAGGCTCACGGGACAACACGGACTAGAGCATCTCCATTCTCCCAGCTGTCCGGGCTCTGTTATCTGAGACGCAGTCTTAAGAGCCCAGCTTTGGGCCCCGGCAAGCGAGCTCCCCGGTCTGGCTCTGTCCCTCATGGGCAGCATGATCGTGGGCAGGTTCCTCTGCCTGCTGCCTGCAGAGCTGGGAGGGAGAAGGCAAAGGGCCCACTCCCCGGAGGTATTTCTCATTCTCCGCCCTCCTCCTCCTTGTACTGTCCTGGCCTTCATCTCCCCACCTGTCCTCGACTGAGGGCTGAGGGCTCAGGTACCGAGAAGCTCGAGTCAATTCTTGGCAACAGTGGCTGCTGTCTTGGGCAGTTGGAGGCCTCTCCCTTCTGGAATGGCAGATGGGGACTTTGTCTTTTGAGCAAACACACACACACACACACACACACACACACACACACACACACACACACACACCACAAACAGCTTTTACCTGGAATGGTTCCGGACTTACAGGAAAGCCGTAATGGTAGCGCATGGAGCTCTGTTGCACACCCCTCACCCTGTTTTCTCGTTGCTAACTTCCTAGGTGATGATGGGACCTTTGTCAAAACCACAGAACCATTCACTAAACTCCAGACTTGATCCGAATTCTGCCCATTTTTCGACTCGTGTCCTTTCTTTGTTCCAGCGTCCCATCCAGGGTCCCAGGTTGCATGTAGTTGTCGCCCGGCCTGCGCTGGTCTGGGACAGTTTCTCAGTCTTCTCTTGGTTTTTATGATCCCCACAGCCTTGAGGAGTGACGGGCAGGCATTCTGTGGAATGTCCCTCTGTCTGGGTCTGTCTGGCATTTTTCTCATGATTGGACTGGGGTTATGGGTTAGGGCAGTGATGGCGGACCTTTTGAGCTCGGCGTGTCAGCATTTTGAAAAACCCTAACTGAACTCTGGTGCCGTGTCACATATAGAAATTTTTTGATATTTGCAACCATAGTAAAACAAAGACTTATGTTTTTGATATTTATTTTATATATTTCAATGCCATTTAACAAAGAAAAATCAACCAAAAAAATGAGTTCGCATGTCACCTCTGACACGCGTGTCATAGGTTCGCCACCACTGGGTTAGGGTAAGAAGACTGCAGAGGCAGGTGCCCTTCTCGTGTTGTGCCACCTCATGTCAGGGGCGCATGATGTCCGAGTGAGGGCACTGCGGACGGTCACGTGTTCACTTGGTTCAGGTGGGCTCTGCTGCTTCCCCACCCTTTCCCTTTGCGTGTCTGCTCCCGGGAAGCCAGTGTGTGAGCACAGCCCGTCCTCAGCTCTGTCTCTCAGGTTTGGTTTGTGAACCTTTGCAAGTCCTCCTTTCTCCCAGGAGGTGGTCCCCAGCCCTGGCCTCCAGCTCCAGGTGGGAGAACAATGGGGAGAGGCTGCGCTGGAGGGAAGACGGGTGCCCATCCTGGGGAGCACTGTGATCTTCATGCTCTTAAAGCCGCAGGCTGCCTTCTAAAGATGAGGAAGGGGCTGGTTCCAACCCTCCAAAGCCTCCAGACTGATGGCCGTGGGGGCCAGAGGCTCCTGTCGTCAGCCCGCCCTGCCCCTCACGTGCCCTGCTGTTCCGGTGAGGGGCTGCTGGAGGCTTCCAGAGCCAGCTTTCTCTGTCTCTCCTGCCATCAGCTCTGTCCCCTGCCCTGCCGGCTCACTGGCACTGTGTCTCGGCCCGCAGGGTGCCGGCTGTGGTGAGCAATGGAGATGCTGTGGACACAGCTTTGTCCGGGGTCCGGCGCTCCAGCTGGAAGCGGAAGAGTTCCCGTCGAAGTAAGTCCCCCACCCCCCAACTCAGGTCTTAGCCGTTGGGGAGTGGGGTGGGGTGGTTCCAGGATAACCTGAGAGCTGATGGCGGGGGGAGGGGGGCTGTGTGAGCTGAGGGGTCGTCCTCCCTGGCTGGGCTGCCGTGGGCTGCGTGGCAGTTCTGGGGTGGACTGGACACTGTCCACGCTTGACAGTTGCCCCCGTTTGCCCCGAGAGCCACGGTCCAGGCGTGGACCACACATTCAGCTGTTCATTGGCTCCTCACGTACTTCCCAAGCAGTTGGTGGGTGTCCCCCGGGAGCAGGACGAGGTTGCTCTGGGAGCAGAGCCAGACACACAGGCAGGCAGCTCCCACGAAGAGGGCAGGTGGCAGAGTGGGGACAACCCATGTGTCCCAGAGGCAGAGAGCCAGGGAGTCAGGGGTCAGGGAAAGAGTGTCCTGGCGGCTCGTGCAGGAGCCCGAGGGAGCAGTCAGCCTCGGAGTGATGGATGGAGTGCGGCATCGGAGGGCTACCGGTGAGGTGAGGCTGCCACCTCCCCGGCTCCTCCTGGGCCTCAGGGGCCACACTTTTTCGAAGGCAACAGGGAGCCAGGAGAGGCTGGTGATGCAGCCGCATTGCATTTCAGTCCATCCCTGTGGGGTGGGGGTGTAGCTTCGGAGACAGGAGACAGGGTGGGGTGGGCTGGACCAGTGAGGAGGCTGGCGGAGAGGGAGGCGAAGGCCGGAGCTAGGGACCTGGACAGAGGCGGCCAGGTCTGAAGCCACTGGGAGGCAGAGTCTGTGGGGGGAAGGCAAGGAGGTCAGGATGAGGCTCTGACAGGCTCTGGGGCCCCCGGGGCAGCTGGAGGCATCGCAGTTAGGATGGCGAGACTTCAGAGGTCCCAGGCCTTCCCGGAGGGCTGTGGGGCGAGGACAGGCTCCCATCAGGGCTGGGGACTGGCATTCGAAACCCTAAAGAGGGCAGAGAGTGGGCACAATTTTGGGAAAGACCTCACTACATTTTGTATCTATTGGGCTACTGTCATGGGCGGGGGCACGCCCTGCCCTGCTCATAGACCTCCAGTGACGTGTTCGGGGATTAAGCTCTGTCTCATTTGTGCTCATTTGCTGAAATCTTCACCAATCAGGACTCTGCTGGCTGGGTTTGGGGGGACTCTTCTTAATCCCACTCTCCAAGTCCATCCCCCTCCCCCTATTTCCGCTTCTCACTAGGGCTGGTTGGCCCTCCCCTGCCTCTGGGTGGGAGGTGGCTCCTATGGGGTAGCGCTGGGGGCCTGGACCACTGAAAATGTGCCCTGGGCGCTGGGCCTGCTCTCTGCTCCCTGCTCCCTGCAGGTGCCCTCAGCCAGGGGGGCAGGTCTGTGGGTGGCAGGGAGGCAGTGGGGTCTGGGAGGGGTGGGGAGGCGGAGAGAAGGAGCGGAACAGTGTCCTCTGAGAGTGGCGGGCAGGGGCTCCCCAGGGCCCAGGCTGCCCGACGCTGATGCTGGCGGGGGAGCTGCCAGCTGGTGCAGCTGATGTCAGTCTGGCAGCCGCCTCCGCCTGGGCCGCCACAGCCTGACTTGTGCTCTCTCCTCTCCTTCTTCACGCCCAGTCGACCGCTTCACTTTCCCCGCCCTGGATGAAGATGTGATTTATGACGACGTCCCGTGTGAGAACCTGGATGCCCGTCAGCCCGGTAGGGCCCCTTTCATGCTTCTCTGGGGCTGCGGTGGGAGGGGCTGGGGCTGGGGACCGTCTGTCTTCTTCCACTTCCTTCCCTCCTCACCCAGCCAATTGCCCCTCCTTCCTGCTTTTAAAAACCACTGGAGTCATCCAGGGAGAGTGGGAGAGGCTGAGGGTGGGGCTAGGCTGGGGCAGGGCAGGGGTTAGGGCCTCATGGCTGGGGAGGTTCTGGCTGAAGGGACTCGGGCCAGTTATTTCACCTCTCCAAGCCTCGATTCCTCCCTCAGGAAAATGGGTGATAGTCTGGGCTGGCAGGGACAGTGACAGCTAGTTAAGCTGAATGGTGAAGCGGAGAAAGCTGGAAAGCCTGTGCCCTGCTCTGCGGTGAGGCCCTCTGTGGGCCTGGAGGCCAGGGAGACTGTGGCCTCAGACAGTGGAGGTGGGGGGAGGTGGACAGGGGGAGGGGTATTTATTATCACCATCTTTGCTTGAACACATTAGGCCAGCGACTCACCCGTTTGTCTCTGGTACTCTGCTTTGAGACTTTGATTTGGGCATATTATGTCCTCATTCTACAAAGATATTGCAGAGGCAGGGCTGGGATTTGAACCTTGGTCATTCTGACTCCAAGCCCAGTGCTCTGTCCCCTACCCCAGGAGGACTTGGGCAGTGTCTGATGCCAGATGAAGCACAATTGCTCTCACTGTTCAATCAACCCCACGAGGTCAGCAGGGCCAGGCTTATGGCTCCAGTTGAGTTGCGTCAGAGAGGTTAAGCCACCAGCCCCAGATCACACAGCCAGGATTTTCTGGACATCTGCCTGACTCTTGCCTTTTCTTTTTTAAATTTTTATTTATTGATTTTTTTTTTCTTTTTGGAGAGAGAGAGAAAGGGAGAGACACAGAGAAACATGGATTCGCTCTTCCACTTGTTTATGCATTCATTGGTTGATTCTTTTTTTTTTTTTAAATATATATTTTATTGATTTTTTACAGAGAGGAAGGGAGAGGGATAGAGAGCTAGAAACATCGATGAGAGAGAAACATCGA